GGGGGGGTTGTAAAATGCATTCAATACCGTGCCTTTACTCTAACCAGTTAGTTCAGCTCTATCAAGACCAAGAAACGACTTAATTGTGTTACGAAGGATGTTAAATTCACACCCGAGAACAAAACAAACCAATGGACAGAAACATTTATCGCAAATCTCGAGTTAATCTCCCACCAAGCAATAGACGGAACGAGTAACAGTGGAACAGTGAAAAGTGGAACAGATATGCAGTTTTTTTTGGTTTTTATGCAATGTCTGAAACGTTATGAAAGTCAATTTGGCAGTAACTTCAACATAAAGTAAGTAACTTCATAAGTGTTCTTGTTTGCTGGCATAAGTCCACAACAGCTGACAAAATCTGCAAATGTTAAAAATTGGCGAAAGATTCTAATATTACACGAACGACGCTTCCTGGCACGGCGTCAGCTAACAGTTTCCGTTTAGTCCAAAAAATAGATCCTTCTTGAAATTTCTAGCGAGAAGCTCATCTTTCGTTTCATTTAAGCCATCTGTTTGGTCCCCGTCTGTATTATCAAGAGCTCTTTCGGCGCATTCTAAAGCTATCTCGCGAAGTTTATAATGTCCAGTAGCCCAGAGCTCCAGCCAAGACTTGACCACACAGTAGGTCATCCCTTTAACTTTCGTCCGGCTGTACTGTTGTTTCAGCGTCGTCTGTTTCCGTAGCATTAACGTTCCCAGCCAGGATGTGACCAACAGCCGATCGGAGGGTCGTGAAGATAGTTTGTCCAACGCACTTGACGGGGCAGGAGCTGGTGCACAATGTGAGCTCTGTCTGACAGAGGAACTCGTCCCTCTTGGTCTTCTTCACGAACTGACACATCATGTTCCTGGCCGCGCAGCTGTTGGTGCACTTGTTGTTGCAGGAGCAGGTGGCGGGACAGGACTTGTAGCAGGCGGCCTTGTTGACATCGCAGTTGACTACAGGGAAGACATTCAAGCACAGACGCGCGGTCGTCTCGCACAGGAGGATACAGCTCTTCTGGCAGAGGACCGCCTGGGAGACCGCGGTCCCGATCACAGCGGACACACATAGCAACACGACACCTGGAGGGGGAGGGGGGGGAGGAAGCGGGAGAGTTAATGGGGTGTTGGGAAGAA